ATGCCGTGGTGTAAAGTATGTTGCCACTGGACTCTAGAGCTGTGGAGACATGTTCTCTGGAATGATGAATCACGCTTCTCTGTCTGCTAATCCGTGTCTGGGTTTGGCAGTTGCCAGTAGAACGGCACTTGGCTGACTGCATTGTGCCAAGTGTAAAGTTTGGTGGAGGGGGGATTATGGTGTGGGGTTGTATTTCAGGGGTTGGGCTTGCCCCCCTTAGTTCCAGTGAAGGGAACTCTTAAGGCATCAGCATACCAAGACATTTTGGACAATTTCATGCTCCCAACTTTGTGGGAAGAGCTTGGGGATGACCCCTTCCTGTTCCAACATGACTGCGCACCAGTGCACAAAGCAAGGTCCATAAAGACATGGATGAGCCAGTTTGGGGTGGAGGAACTTGACTGGCCTGCACAGAGTCCTGACCTCAACCCCATAGAACACCTTTGGGATGAATTAGAGTGGAGACTGCGAGCCAGGCCTCCTCCCCCGACATCAGTGCCTGACCTCACAAATGTGCTTCTGGAAGAATGGTCCAACCTTCCCATAGACACCCTCCTAAACCTTGTGGACAGCCTTCCCAGAAGAGTTGAAGCTGTTATAGCTGCAAAGGGCGGGGCCAACTCAATATTGAACCCTACGGACTAAGACTGGGAGGACATTAAAGGTCATGTGTGTGTAAAGGCCGGCCGACCAATACTTTTGGCAATATAGTATAAGTGCGCTCTGGTGCTGCTCAGTATAATGCAACCAGGTAGATGAATCAATGTTAGCAGATGACCGGTAACTATGTGTGATGATGTTACACTGTGGCCTCGTCCTACGCATTTTATAGATGACAAAAAAGAGGATCATTCTAAATATACTGCACTATGGGAAGTGTCTTCTGTTTTTTATTTTGGTTTTCTCTGAGCATATTTTACCTGTGAATTGGACTGGAACACAGCCTGAGTTGAATTTCTGATCCTTACAAGCGCTTTTGACCATTTTTATATGATACGGTGTCACGCCCAGGGGTGGACTGACCATTTGGAAACTCGGGCACTGCCCGAGGGCCGGGGTCAGTAGTGGGCCCCATGAGATGCCCCTGGTACCTTTTTCATAGGCTTTTTTGAGTTTGGGCAAGGACACAGAGGCCTCATGTTCCCCTATTGAGGGCCCGGGGTCAGTATGGGGCCCCATGAGATGACCCTGGTACCTTTTTCATAGGCTTTTTTGAATTTGGGCAAGGACACAGGGGCCCCATGATCCCCTATTGCCCGTGGGGCCCATGAGTTGTCAGTCCGCCCCTGGTCACGCCTACCCCTAACGGTGGTCTTCGCCTATAGCAGCCCACTTTCCCATAATGCACCCAGGCCTACCAGTACTCGGCTGCCCCCAGGTCTTATACACAATGCTATAGTGCCTGACCACCACACTGGGGCAGGCGTGAACTAAGCACAGCGAACAGGTGCTTGAGGTTGGTAGACAGGCAGAGTGGTTTAGTGGAAGTCCAGATTCAGGGCAGACAGCATTCAAAGAGTAGTCAGGGCCAAATCTGTGGTCAAAAAGGCGGGCTGAATTCTGAGCGTAGTCAAAATCCGATCCAAGGTCGATCTGAGAATCCAGGATTCTGAGATTCACCACTTGGGAGGCACAGTGTGGAGTTATCAAGTGCACTTTTGAGTTTAGTTATTTTTGGACACTAATCACTTACAGTAATCGTTACAATCAAAATTGTTCACGTTGCCACCAGGTGTATGGGCGATTTGACCAGATAATTGTGTGTAGATCACCAATTGTTAAGTCTTTTCAATGCAATTCTTGATTCAGGAAATTCCTTTTTTTATTGTTATACTGTCACAGTCACAAATCATAACCACATTGTTAGGTGTATGGAGGATATTGTATCTATATATATTTATTCTTTATTTTTTGAGTTTGGTATCACAAATTTTTGTGGTAGTAGGTTTTTATTTTAGGTGTTTAGATTTGAGCACATATTTATTTAATACTTTATACTGTAAAAACATTATTTTATTACATGTGATAATAAATAATAATGATAATGAAAAGAAACAAACTAAAAAGCCATACTACTCCTTTCCAAGGGTGCAGTGCACCCAACGCATATGTCCAATGCACCTATGATGCACCAGTTGCAATGTGCCACAATGTGGATATATATATACAAGGGTTCTTCAAAAAGTTTCCGCACTTTTATATTTTTGTTGGATGCGGTGAGGGCGGGAGGAGCAGTAATTGGTCATGTCTGAGAGTGTCATGTGGCTAGTCGGTCTGGCAAGCCGGCTGACTTTGCAGTTTTGTAAAAGAGGTGTTACGTCGTTTTTGAAATTCTTAACAAATAGAGTTTAAAAAAGTACAGAAACTTTTTACAGATATATGTTCACATCATGGCACATTGCAACTGGCACATCATAGGTGCCTTGGATAAATGCGTTGGGTTCACTGCAGCACAAAATATGTGTTTTCAATCTTTAAGAAACTTTGAGGAAAAATTGATCCACACTGCCTACAGCTACAGATGTCAGTGGGAGCTTGTTTTATAGTTCTATTGTGGGTTTAAAATATATATAATTGTATATATACAGTATACATACAGTTGTGTCCAAAATTATTCAACCCCCACTGAAATTGAGTGTTTTGGCCAGTTTGACATTGCTTTTGATCATTCAGTCATCTTGCTTACATTTACATTAAAGAGGCACTTGTAGGTCAGACAAATATAACATAACAGTTATAATGAAATAACCACAAATGTCTTTTCTGTGCTCACAGCATTATCAGTTTTATTCAACCCCCAAGTGACATTCAATCTTAGTACTTAGTACAGCATCCTTTTACAGTTATAACAGCTTTTAAACGTGAAGCATAGCTTGACACAAGTGTCTTGCAGCGATCTACGGGTATCTTCGCCCATTCTTCATGGGCAAAGGCCTCCAGTTCAGTCACATTCTTAGGCTTGCGCACTGCAACTGCTTTCTTTAAGTCCCACCAGAGGTTCTCAATCGGATTTAAGTCTGGTGACTGCGATGGCCACTCCAAAATGTTCCAGCCTTTCCTCTGCAACCATGCTCTAGTGGACTTGGAGGTATGCTTGGGATCATTGTCCTGTTGAAAGGTCCAACGTCTCCCAAGCCTCAGGTGTGTGACGGACTGCATCACGTTTCCATCCAATATCTCCTGGTACTGAAGAGAATTCATGGTACCTTGCACACGCTGAAGCTTCCCTGTACCTGCAGAAGCAAAACAGCCCCAAAGCATGATTGACCCTCCACCATGCTTCACAGTAGGCAAGGTGTTCTTTTCATCATAGGCCTTGTTCTTCCTCCTCCAAACATAGCGTTGATCCATGGGCCCAAACAGTTCTAATTTTGTTTCATCAGTCCACAGAACACTATCCCACAACTTTTGTGGTTTGTCCACATGGCTTTTGGCATACTGCAGTCGACTCTTCTTATTCTTTGGAGACAGCAAGGGGGTACGCCTGGGAGTTCTGGCACGGAGGCCTTCATTACGCAGTGTGCGTCTTATTGTCTGGGCTGAAACTTCTGTACCCACATCTGACAAATCTTTTCTCAGTTCCTCAGCAGTCACACGGGGACTTCTCTCCACTCTACGCTTCAGGTAGCGCACAGCAGTCGAAGTCAGCATCTTCTTTCTGCCACGACCAGGTAGCGTTTCAACAGTGCCCTTTGCCTTGAATTTGCGAATGATGCTTCCTAAGGTGTCTCTTGGTATGTTTAACATCTTTGCAATCTTCTTATAGCCATTGCCCTTCCTGTGAAGAGAAATCACCTCTTCTCTTGTCTTCCTGGACCATTCTCTTGCCTTCACCATGTTTGTAACCACACCAGTAAATGTCTAGAAGGAGCTGAGTATCACAGTCATTTTAAAGCTGCCTAATTGGTGCTTATTATGCTTGATTGCTGCTCGGTGACATCCACAGGTGTTTTCAATACCTGATGGAAAGCACCTGTATGAACCTCTGTTCTTCAGAGTGGTAGTCTTTAAGGGGTTGAATAATTGTGGCAATGAAGAAACCACATAAGAACCATTTACTACTGTATTACATAAACAATTGATGTCATTTTAGTTGCATTTGGGTAGTTACAACGTCCTTGTAGGATTTGATTCTGAATACAATTCCAAATGTACACTATAGTCCCTAAACCCCTTTACAGCATTGGGGGTTGAATAATTTTGGACACAACTGTATTTTATTTCTATAGATAGAGTGAGGAATGGTTAAAAACCATCACTTTTTGTATTCTTTATTTTGCTGTTTGGATTTAGCTGGGAGCATTTCTGGTCAAGCATGACACAATTCAAACATAAAAGAGATGAATGGCCAAAGTTTTTTTTGTCTATTCTTCTCTTGGGGGTCATAGGAGTACAATTGCCTTTGTTTTCTTGTGACCCAGAAGGCAGTGCCGCTCCAAGCTAAGGAAGTATCCCAACAACATTGTCAGTATCCACCCTGCTGCCTGATGACAGCCGCCTCTGCCTTTCAGCTCATGGCTGATAGCTGGAACCAGCCGCTTCTACCCTCTCCCCAGCTTAGTGCTCCAGTGAGCACTGGAGGGGCAGAGAGGAAAGCTCTCCATTCCAAGCTGTCTGAGAACTAAATGATGTGTCCCAAATTTCACAAATACTGAAACCTTTCTGTTTTCTACACACCTCAACCCTTCGAGATGTTCCTTAGGAAAAGCACCCAACATTATACATGATACCACCTTGGTAGAAGCAATGGCACAGGAATTGTTTCCTGCAGGGCACTTATACCCCCTTCCTGCCCAGGCCAATTTCCAGTTCTCAGTACTATCACACTTTGAATGACAATTGCGCGGTCATGCAACACTGTACCCATATGAAATTTTTCTATTTTTTTTTTGTGATAGATAGAGCTTTATTTTGGTGGTATTTAATCACCTCTGGGTTTTTATTAAACAAACCAAAAACCACTAAAAATTTTGAATGAAGAAAAGTTTTTTCTTAGTTTTTGTTATAAAATTTTGTAAATAAGTGATTTTTCTCCTTCACTGATGTGCACTAATGATGCTGTAGTGATGGACACTGATAAGATGCACTGATGGACACTGATAGGTGGCACTGATGGGCACTGATGAGGAGGCACTGGTAGGTAGCACTTATGGGCATTGACAGGCATCACTGATGGGCACTGAAAGGCAGAACTGATATATGGCACTGATATATGGCACTGACTGGCACTGATAGGCGGCACTGACTGGCACTGTTAGGTGGCTTTGACTGGCACTATTAGGTGCAACTGACTGGCACTGACTCTGTCATGAGAAACGTATGGGGACTGCCATTACAAGTCACCTGGCCATGCCGGGCTTTAGTACGTTTTGTGTTACCTAGCACATGCATGCTGTAAATGAGTATCAGAATTCTTTTTACCTGTTCCAGGTTAGAGATTTAAAAGGCATTACATAACAGACAGCCGATGAACTAACATTCCCAACAAAGAATTCAGCAACAGAAGTGACAGAGTCACTTGTGTAGGCATTTGTTCCTCTATTTTACAGTGCACCCAAAGTGGCCATTCCAATGTCTTTATAGTAGTTTTAGAAAAGTCATTTTTTGGGACTGAGTTAGAACTATAATCTAGAAGTTTGGACCTCTTTTCCTTCGAACCAATGTGAAATCTGTTTTATTGTTGTTCCTGTAGGGAAAGACAGTATATGGAAGAATACAGGAGCTACAGTAGCTGGCACAGTATGGTGACCAGTATGGACTACTAGGTCACTAATACCTAAGTAAGTGAGTCCTCAGAGGACCCGGAATGTTGCACTTTGTGACAAATAAATGTCTAATTTTGTAATTTGATGATTTGTTGCTTTGGACTTTTTTGATGGCACCAACTGTTAATATAGCACCATACCATACCAAGTAGGCCTGAATAAACGATCTTCAGAGGACCCAAAATGTTGCAGTTTGTGACACACATCCCATTTTGCACTTTTATGGTTTGCTGTTTTGGACTTATTTGATGGTACCAACTGTTAGTATAGCACCATACCAAACCAACTAGGTCAGTAATGTCTAAGTAAGAAGTCATCACTGGTCCCAAAATGTTTTACTTTGTGACAAATGTCCCATTTTGTACTTTGATGGTTTTGTTGTTTAGAACTTGTCTGTTGGCACCAACCATTTGTATAGCACTACCATACCAACTAGGTCAATAATGCTCGAGTAAGCAATCCTCAGAGGACCCAAAATGTTGTCCTTTGTGACAAATGTCCTATTTTATATTGTGATGGTTTGCTGTTTAGGACTTATTTGATGGTACCAACTGTTAGCATAGTGCCATACCAAACCAACTATGTCAATAATGCCTAAGAGTAAGAGGTCGTCACTGGTCCCGAAATGTTTTACATTTTGACAAATGTCTCATTTTGTTCTTTGATGGTTTTGCTGTTTTGGACTTATTTGATGGTACCAACTGGTAGTATAGCACCATACCAAACCAACTAGGTCAGTAATGTCTAAGTAAGAAGTCATCACTGGTCCACAAAATGTTTTACTTTGTGACAAATGTCCCATTTTGTACTTTGATGGTTTTGCTGTTTAGAACTTGTCTGTCGCACCAACCATTTGTATAGCACTACCATACCAACTAGGTCAATAATGCTCGAGTAAGCAATCCTCAGAGGACCCAAAATGTTGTCCTTTGTGACAAATGTCCTATTTTATATTGTGATGGTTTGCTGTTTAGGACTTATTTGATGGTACCAACTGTTAGCATAGTGCCATACCAAACCAACTATGCCAATAATGCCTAAGAGTAAGAGGTCGTCACTGGTCCCGAAATGTTTTATATTATGACAAATGTCTTATTTTGTACTTTGATGGTTTTGCTGTTTTGGAATTTTTGTGATGGTGCCAACTGGTAGTATAGCAATATACCACACCAGCCATTGTTAAGGTTTATAGCTATAAGGAGAGCACTGGATTCTATGGATTTATAATATGGATTCCAAGACATGTCTTATAGGTATGTAGGACTTTGCTGTTTGTAAAGGTCCCAGAGTTTTCATCATCATCCTTGAGTCACTGATTTGGAACAGGTATCCAAATTAGGTGTGGAAGCATTTCTCTAGCTACATACTTGTTCCATGTTTAAAGGATCAGAACTAGCATATGGCATATACATGATATAAAACAGAATCCTGCCTAAGTATAGATGGCACCTCCAAGTGCTTTAACAAGGAAGCCATGTGCTTGGCTATTGGTTAGTGACCGTAGTGATGGGCCAATTGTAAAGCATGGAATGCAGAGGGGGTGGGTAAGAGCCAGCAGCCACATGGACTGATTGCCATTTCTTCTTCAGAGCACCCGACTATTTTCTGAGCTGAAAGTGCTAGCAGGAACCTATGGGTGCCAACTTGAGATGGTGCCATAAGAGAAGTATAGATGATGAGCCATAGCCAGAAGAGATTTTTGAGGAACGAGGAACAATGCTTCCACTAAGAACAGTAGAAAAAGCTATGAAAAGTTTTTTGGCTGTAGTAATTTTTAAGGTCTGGCAATGTAGACTCCTGAGGTTTGTTCAGCTCTGATATGTATTCTGGCCCATTTATACGATCTAGTTAATTAACATGTTTGTCCACATCACCATAATCCTTCACCCTGCATAGGGGTACTGATAATGTGCGTTCCAGTTGTGCTCCTGTATTGTCTTCTTATGCCAAAAAAACAAAACAAAACAGACATCTGTACGAAACAGCACCCGGTACTCCTCGCTAATTAAAACTCAAAGACCCCCTCCAAATATTAAACGCCCCCCATGATTCTCAGCAGCTCATCCATGAAAGATTTTTCGAAGTATATGGCACTTGTTAAAGTTAAACACACTCACGCACACCCCTCTCTGTCTCTCCTCCTCCTCCCCCAAAAGATTTTTTGGCTTACAGCAGGTTGTGTCGCATGCGGACATTTGCAGACACAGAACAGATTTCTTATCACTGAATAACAAATGGCTCCAAACAAGACATCCTGGCTTATTGAAAAAAAAATATATATTTGGCCTCCGCGACACATCCGCGTCCCCCTCGACGAGAATCAGGTGTTATTTTGGCTGACGAGAGGTTTGTCAATACCAGATTTGGTTAACTGATTCTCATTTTCCATTCGTTGTTCATTATTATTATTATTATTTTTTTTTTCTTTTTGTTAACTTGTTTCCCTTTTATCCTTTGTGTTTGTGTTTTTTTTTTTTCTCTTTTCGTTTCTTTTTTTTTTTTTTTCTTCTTTCTTTTAATATATGAACTGATCCGCAAAGGGCATCTTTTGGAGACAAGGACTTGAAGCAGCCTGGCACATCCTGGAGCCTCGCCAAGCCTGCTTGGGATTTGGGAAGATTGCCATGCTGGGAGAGGAGAAGGAGAGTGTTCAGAGAAGGGGGGAAAAAGGCAAGACTTGGCAGTGCTCAGTCAAATCAGTTTCTTTTGTCTGCCTTCTCGGCTTGAGCTTCAGGAAACAAAATCGTTCTGGGATAAAAAAGAAAAAAAAAATCTGAACTTTTTTTTTTGTTGTTCTGCAAACTTAGAAGCTTTTGTTGTTGCCCATTTTTATACCTCCCGGACTTTTTCTAAATCGATACATAATATTCCCTATTCACCATCGTTCCTAAAAAAAATATTTGTAAATATAGCTTTCAAGCGGCTTTTTGTCTGAATGGCGGGCTTTTCTTTTTTTTTTTTCATTTTTTTTTACAAAAAATAGATCCGATGTCGCTGGACCAACTTTTAAAAAACCAAAAAATTATTTTTTTTTTATTTAATAAAAAAAAAAAGGGATTTTGCATCTGGCTTTAGGGACGCTAGCAGATCGTAAAGGCCTGCTGTATTTTTTTTTTTTTTTTTTAATGTTAAACTTGTTCTAATGAAGTGTCTTAGATGAGTTTCATCATCAAAAATGTGCCGGAAAGTAAAGTTGTATCTCTTTTTTTTTTTTTTTTTTTAACTCTGGAAGCAACAGTTTCCTCTTGGAGCTGCTGTCAGTATTACTGCCTTTCCCATTCTGCAGTAAGTGACAAAAGCAAAGACAGACTCGGAGAATGAAAGACGTCCTTACAGCACCTGAAGGGCAATCGTGAACCGTGAGCATTGGCACTTTGTTTTTTTTTTTTAATAATTAAAATTTTTTCTTTTCCTGAATGTACATGTTCAGTGACTTAGCACCAGACCCATTACAAAGAGGTGTCTTTAAATAGGTGAATATGTGCATATGTGATTTTTTTGGAATTTTTTTGGTGTTTGATTTATTGCAGTGCTTTGGTTTCTTGTCCAAAAATTACAATGTTGCCTTTTTTATTGTTGTTCCTGATTTTGTGTGTGACGTCACAGAATAGAAAGGACCTCTGGGCCTCGTCTAATTACAAAGTGATTTTGCTTGTTGTTGGTGACTTTTGGGAATGGCGCCATTGTTGTAGAGGGGACACTTCTTTTATGTCACGTAGTTTGGTGAGAGAAAAATGTGGCATCTTTCAAGGAATAGTCATGAATTTGGACATTTTATGAGTTAAGTTTTTTTTTTTAATTATAAATATAAGGAAGGACACTGTAGACGGTAAACTGGTAGAAACCAACAAGTTGCAAAGGTATTGGTGTGCCATTAATCATACTAACCAATCACTTGTTGGATTGTCTACTGTAAGCTGGTAAAAAAACAATATATTGTTATTGGACTTTGTTGCCCTTTGAATTTAAATATTGTGTATTGATTAGATGTTAATACTTCTGTAATAGCTTCACGTAAGGTTCATGGACTGGATTGTGTATGTGTGTGACCTCAAGTGTCCTTGACTTTTGTTCTTCACTTTGTTCCTCTGTAAAAGTAGATCACATGTTTTCATATATTTGGGGGTTTTATAAGTATGTATTGAGATCTGTCCTTGGCACAAAGATTGTGTATAGATGACTTTTTTTCCTGGATATATATCTCCTGAACTTTAAAAACATATCTGGTCCATTTTTACATTTTGGATAGATTTGGAAATGGTTGGAAAGGCTAGCCAGGTTTTAATCACCTTCTCATTATCAGGAATATATTTTCCTCGCTTCCTATTTTGGGTTTCACCAACAGGGGCCTGAGCATGGCAATAAAAGCCTATGTTTCATACTGCTCTACTGTGTCCACATTGGAGATATTTGCTCTCACTTCCTGTCTTGGTGACCACCATCTCTGGGACGGGAAGAGAGATAAATTACATCAGAGACGACAATAAATGAGTCTTGACCATCTTTTT